ATTTGAAATGTAAGAAGCTATTATTGTGGAAAGGCATAGAAATACAAAAGGTGTTTTAGAGCTCTCCATAATGAAAGAGTAGAGCTTATGATTTGTTTCTATAGGTGTTTAGTAGTTGTCTACGCACCACTAGTGCCTGAATCTGTTAGTTGTTTTCTCTATGGGCAGGAAGAGACAATGTGAAAAAGAAATCAGTTAGTACTGGCAAGTCACCTAATGGACTCTGCTAAGAAGGCAACTTTAATATGTGATAGGTTTCTTTTATTTCTTTAAATACACTTTCCTCCCTTGCTCTTGTGTGCATTAGTTGAGCCTAGTATTTTCAATGTTTGTGGTAGAAATGATTTCCTAGGAGGTTTGGGCGTGGAGTGTGATCTGGTTTTATCAGTGACAGCGCAGTGTCCAGTTTATGGGGGATATGGCAGAAGTAAGTTTGAAAGAGGTTGTAGTAGGCACATACATGCTCAGAACTGTTATATTTGGAGCACATGGAGTGTGACCCTAGGGACCTGTAATTCTGTGCAGCTTCTGCTGGTGTGCCCTCTGATTCTGTCACATTTCACAACCTAAGATTTGGGTGAGATCTCTTCTGGGAATATATGAGTGCTAAAGGAAGTAGTATCAGTAACTCAGTGGGAAATGCTGCTTCCACTAGCTTGTTACTGACCCACGTATCTGTGTGTGAGGCAACACGATGATAGCAAATATGCTTACGTGTTTTCTGATGGTATGTTAAGCTGTAAAGCCAATCAGTTGTGGTCTCAGGTGGCTATAATACTTTCCCTAAGAGGAGGGATATCAAATTTAACACCTTTGACCTTTGCTGAAAAATAACTGTTTCCAGCGTCCCGTTCTTCAAGAGCAATAGAAAAGTCAAGTCTTTTGTCCTCTCTTTTTAGTGATGACTGTTCTGGGGGATCTGAAATTAGTGAGCACTTGCATATCAGATGACGAAGCAGGATGGTGACTGAAGTGTTGAATTTTTACTTCATCACCGGAGGCAAGATGGATGTAGACTTGTCTACTTACTTGCCCTGGTTTTATACCCTGTTTTAGATGTTAGCTTTTGGCTGCTACTAGAAGTAGGATACCCAGTATATAGGAGCATGTAGAATATACTATTTAAATAAATTAATAAAATCTAATTACAGCCTTCCCTTTCTAGGTACTAGAAGAGATTTGGTGTCCCAATCATCAGACCTCTGTCTGATCAAACAGTTTATACTGTAACAGCTTTCTGGCCAAGATGTATTAGCTTACAGTTATGTTGAAAAGGGTTAAAAAATGTTGTTGCGCTTTCAGGTTAAATAAGAAACAACTCCCTTTCCTTTTTTTAGACAATTTCAAGGCATAAAGTAAATAATAACAGCTTTCCACTTCAGTGAGATGGAGAAAGCAAAAAACTTTTTATTTTTTTCTGGTCACAGATCATCATCTTAGAAATAGTTTTCTAGTACAATTCCAAACTGAATAATGGGAAATTTAAGATAGCAGTGTACTGAAATTGAATGTAGGTTTTCCCCTCTCTTCTTTTGAGGTTATGTCATGTAATATTTGTGCTGTTGCTAATTAAATAGTTTGTCTTTTCAATTCCAGCTACCACTGCGCTTCTGTGAACAGACTGGTCCTAGATTATAATTTGTTTTTAAGGGTTTTTTCATTAGATGCATTGGGATCTCTCATGGTGAAAGTTACTGTGGTAGTAGCATATGATCCTAATTATTAAAGTTTGTCTTGTGAAAGTAGTGATTTGAGATATGACAGTGCACTATGCTTATAGATCCAAAACTGTAGGGATATTTTTGCACAAATTATGATCACTTAGAAGAACTATCCAACATAGCTTTCATTTACTGTAAGGTGTGTAGGGATATTTATATCTTAAAGTATATTTGTCATAAGCATGCTGGGTCAACTGACGTATCACAGAAATAAAAAGCAATGTCCGAGCTTTGAGAAGAATTGTTCTGACAGTCCTATCTGTTGCTGATTGGAATTGGTTTTGGGTGTTACTTCTTCTGTTATGTGCAAAATTGCAACATTCTTACTAGGATAAGGTGTTTTTTTTGTATCTTTTTATGTATTCTTTTTTTTTTCTTTTGTTTTGTTTGGCAAGATGTATGGGTAAGCATAATGGACTTGAGTCAGAGATAATGTAACTTGGTGAGGAAAGGAGAATAAGAGGAGATGCTTGAGTTCAGAATTAATGGTGGGCAAATGAGAGTTTTCCATAGGTCAGGTGTGTTAAGTTTTAAGGCAAGGTGAAGTACCTTGCAATTACACAGGACTGTTTGTTAGTTGGGCTACTGAAAAGTTAAATGTGTCCGGGTCTTTGTCCTCTTCCTGCTTTTTTCTTACGCTACTCACATCCTACTTGGGATTTCTGGCCAGGCAGATTTACCACGAACGGTGTCTGATGACGTTCAGTTTTAGACTGCAACTGCATTAATTACAGTGACCCTGCTTTATGAAGGCTTTGGTCATGACTTCTGTTGCTTCTGCTCTAGTTTTGCTGAGGGTTTGTAGCTCTGACAGATTCTAAGAAATTTTGATTGATGCAGACTCACAGCATGGCTAGTACTTGCGCTCAGAGTGACCATTGCTAGTTGTGTGTTTTCCTTTTAGCTGCTGTCTTAGGAGACTAGGGATCCTTCTCATCAGTGAGTATGCTCCTTTTGCTTACTCTGTGAGCCTGGTGGTTTCCTGTAGTGAAGTCTCTCCTGTGGCAGCCTATAACGTGTGGCAAATTACTGGCCTCTACCTCTGTCACAGTAATTACTTCAGAGAAAGAGTTGTGCATAAGACATCACACAACATCGAACTAAGGTTGATGAGATGCAGTCGCAACAGAGTGCTAAAGCTGCCCTAGGCAGGTCTATAAAGAGGGCTTTGTTCTATCGGGAAATTCTGTAGACTGATGAGTTGGATAGTTTAAAGCATTTACTGAGGCCCCATAGTTACTGCAGATCATAGAAACAGAATACAAATATAAGGCTCTTCAGGAAGGAATTCCTAATGAGACTTCAGCTGTTTCACATCCAGAAATGCCTATCTGTAGTATTTTGTGGGACTGTCACAGGGCACATTGATGTTACTTGTGGCTAATTCCATCCTATTTCTTTAGGAGATGATGAGCAAAGTGATTGGTTTTATGAAGGAGAATGTGTTCCAGGCTTCACTGTCCCTAACCTTCTTCCCAAGTGGGGAGCTGACCACCGATCTGAAGTGGAGCGGATTGACTCAGGCCTGGACAAGCTCTCAGATTCTACATTCCTCTTGCCCTCGCGGCCAGCTCAAAGAGGTGAGGTCCCTAAGGAATGCCACGTGTTTGAGAACTTTTTATGTGATGGCAAGAGTAGATTCTGTTCATAGCTACTGCAATTTAAACTGTATTAGTTATCTGTTTTTTTAACGATCAAATTAAAAATAGCTGCACTACTGGAGAGGATACTAAAATACCAGTTGCCCACATTCTTGAGTCTTCCTTTTTTAAATAAGGACTTTATATGATTTGTGAATAAATTGGCATATCTACCTCTTACAGATTGAGAAACGAGAGACAGAGGATCTGATTTGACAATGGAACTAACTATTTTTCTTGGTGGTTTTGTCAGGAAGAATCTTCTGTATTCATTGCTCAGTTTTTCTGGGTTTGGTTTTCAGGATTTCATGCTCGCTTGAATCGCCTTCCAGGAGCTGCTGCCCGTTGTCTCCGAAAAGGTCGGAGGAGGCTTGTTGGCAAGGTATTCCCTTTTGCAAGATAGTAATTTTGCATTTCCAATGCTGATCGGTCCTGAAGTACTATTCTAAGATAGCAAATGAATTGTTTTCTGCAGAAAGGCGCCCTGTATATTTTTTGTATTGTTTGATTTGTTTAACTGCTTTGACTATCAGAAGTTGATTGACTAAGTGGATTTTAAGGCAGGTTTGGAGTGGCAAAGACAGTTGATCAGTGCTAAAAGCAGTATGAAAGGAGGTGTGAAGATGAATGACAGGGAGCATAAATATCAAGAAGATTTAGACAGAATGTAGGGGAATACGATGATGGCATGAGACTTGTGCCTGCTCATAATCTGAGACTACAAGGGCAGAGAGGTGACTCGAAGGAAAGCCAAATTTTAGATGGAGATGCAGACTGATATGAATGGCAGCAAAGGAAGATGGCTTAAGCAGTTGCATTTTTAGTAGGGAGACAGAATAATGAAAAGATATATGCAATAATGCAGACAAAGTTACCCAAAGCCATTGACTAGGTTTATTATATGTAGGGCAGACAACAAACAAAATATTAGTCTTGTTTCTGAAGGAATGAGCAATACTTTGCAGACACTTGTCTAAAAGAGGGAGGGATACACCTGGTTGGGTCTGGATCTTGGAGTGTTGAGTGCTGTTGTCTGTCATGAAAGATGTTTCTGAGAAGGATTGTGTTGGCTGTGTTTGGCTTTACTTTTATTGGCATGTGCTCTGTGCTTTGGAAAACATTGGCATGTATTCTGAGCTGACTGGCTTGAGAGAGTCTGTTAGCAAGGTGTGTTAGAGGGGCCTGGAGTCTAGAGGAGTGCGACTTCTTTCTGTTCAGTCATGCTTGAAAGATCGTTGTTTGGCCAGTCTTTCTTCCACTCACCTTGCTTAGCTGTAACCGGCGTTTAAAATATGAATCCTCAGCTGGCAAGAGACTGGCCTTGGGTAGGGTTCCTCAGGCCACCTGCAAGTGGCGGGGCCTGTCAGCAGCACCTCTAATGATCCAAATGAGAAGGATAATATTTACTTGTTTAATTCATCTTCATCACCTTAAAGGGATCTTTGTCATTTGCAGTGGAGGTCACTGCTCCCCCTTCCCCATCTCTCTCTAAATTGTAATCATAAATAATGAGTTTCATTCAGAGCTCCCCGCCAGCGAGCTGCTAATTATCAAAAGTACGGCTTGTAATTTACACAGTAATAAACCGTAAATTTAAACATTACGGCACTTAAAGTTAATAATTTTCCTGCTCTAACAAATAGCCCATCTTTCGCCCCTGCTGCTACAACTCCCCCCAAACTTTGAGTGTGTTTTGCCTATGTACCTGGCACAGACTGCAAAGAATCTTGCCTGTGAAAGCCATTTCCCCTCATCTTCACACCCTTACTGCAAAGTTTGTGTCTTTCTTGGAAGTAGTTGCTATGCAGATATGAGCAGCTGGTGCTTCAGGCTGTGTGTGTGTGTGTACATGCGCATCAAGCACCTGCACAGGGCAGTGTCTCACAGGGAGAAATGTGCTCCCAGAGCAAGTCCTTTCTCCTAGGATCTACCTTTTCTTTAGCTGCTAGAGGTCCTGCTGCTGAATTGCTGCTATCAGAAAGGGCAAAAGCTTCATGCATACTCCTTGTTTCATTCACCTGTGTTTGGTGAATCCCCATTGTTAGTGGGACAGTGTGATGTCCTGTCTCTCAGCCTGTTTCTGGCCCAGCTGACGGAGCCACCTGGAAATAAGCGCTTCTCAGCCATTTCCCCTGTTCTTAACTGCATCCTTGTGCTGTATACTTTGTACTGGTCCAGTGCTTGATGTGCCCACATGCAAGCAACTTGTCACTAAAATAATAAAACCCAAGCCCCACAAATAAAACCGAACTATTTTCTGCCATTCTAATTACTTAAATCAGCTCAGCTGAAGTTCTAAAAGGAGAGGGTGAATATGTTTAGCTGAGAGTGGGCTGGGAAGGAAAGGATGTAAACGAGGGAAATAAGATTTGTTCTAACTGGCAGCAGCAAACTATTATGTCTGCTCACTGTGTGAGAATCTGCAACCTTTTACCTGTCTTTGTGTTTCAGGAGACCTCCATGAGCACTCTGGGCACCGAGAGGCTAGGTCATATTGTTAGTGATCCGCGCCAGAAAGAGTAAGGCCCTTAACAGCTGTTGTGTAGACCTTTGGGTGGGGAGGAAGAACTATAGAGTCCTCTTCCCTCCTGGGAATGAAAAGCTTGGTGGTAACTTAAGCATGCAGTGACCTGTGGAATAGGAGACAGTCCTCAACTGATGGCTTCTCTGTTTTCTCATTGGCAATTACTGACTACCCTTTTGTTTATAAGACTGCCCTGATGTGTGGACACTGCTCAAATGCCCTTTTAGTTACAGTCAACTTTTTCTTTCTCCCTCCCCTATAATGTGCCATTGCAATAACTGCAGATCTTCTGCACAGTATGAGAAGACTGAGCCCTATATGTTAATCATGTAAAAAGCTTCTGTGTAGAGTCACGCGGTGGGCACATACCCATACTGCAGAAATGATGCTGACAAGGCAGCTGTGAAATTGCTTTCTCTTTCTTTGGTGTTCTGTCTCCTTCCCCAATTAGTGTATTTAAATTGTAGTCAGGACCAGAAATAGTCATGGTGCCTATGCTTTGGCATCCCTCTAATGCTATTCTTGTTGAGCAGTGGATAGATAAGGGTGACACCTCTTGACTGTAGTGCAGTGGGTCCAGCCTTCACCAGCTATTGGTATCCAGTTTTCTTCCTTGGATCTGAAATTTGTTGTTTTTAATTTGAGTCCTGCTGATGTTTAATCTTTCTCCTTCTCCCTCCATCTTTGTTCTTCCCTTCCCCTTCTATCCTTACCCCCAACTCTCTTTTTTTTTTTTCCCCTATGTTTGTTCCTGCCTTGGCATTGCTCACACCTGTCCTTCCGACTCTGCCTTCTTCCAGTTTTTGGTTGCCATCCATGGGGAAGAGAGATCGCAACCAGGTAAGCTGACTCTGCTCTACCCTTTTTATTTTCTTGGTTTCCTTCTCTCTAGAAAGAACAAAGTGCCAGCTTATGATTGCCCACACACTGTGGCCTGTGCACATGAGGTAAGGCAATCCTGTCCCTTCTCATTTTGGTAACTGATGTCTTCTGGGCTTTGAACACAACCCATGTCTCAGGCATTATATTGTCTATTTAAACTGCATAGTTCAGGAACTCCTTTTGTTTATCTCCATGTTTCAGGTTAGTGTAGGCCTTCCCCTCTGACAGTGAGTGAAGTGAAAATGCCTCTTGGCAGGCAGAGCTTTGGCCTCTCAAAATTCCATAAGAATTGGAACGTTTTTCTCTTTTTAAATGCTTTGTTTTACCTTGTTTGGCTCAGGCTTCTACCTGATAGAGAAGGGAAAAAAATTGGTGAGCTGATGGTAGTTAAATTGCAGCCATAACAGGAAAACATATAAGAGGTGATAAGCAAGAGAAATAGGCAGTCTTGTATCTGAAACTCTTGTGTATGCACTTTTATATTGTCCAGTAAGTCTTTCACAGCTTCAGTGCTAGGAGGCTTTTTTACTTAAGGTATGAGATCTCAGGTGCTTGACAGCAGAAAGCAAAAAGGATCTTTGATTTGAGCAGTTGTGTTGTAACAGTGTTCCTAGCTGTGCACACTCCCTCTTGCTTTGCAAGTTGGTTTTTAGTTGGTGAGCAGTAGGATTGAAATCTGTTTTACCCTTCAGGTGACTAAAAGTACATATATGGCAAGAAATAATTTGCAGGCCTTTGTGCAATTGTGTATTTTCCGTTAATGTGAACATTTCACATACTGCTTTTATGTTGCTAAAGATAAGACTGATAACTGCATAAGCTTTAAAATGACAAAAATAAATTACTTTTGTTTTTCTTAAATGAACTTGAATCAGCTACAGAGAGTTACTCGTGATTCTCCCCTACTGTGCAGCTGCAGTGTTACGTCACTGACAGTAAGCTAACTGTCCATCTTAAGGAGGAGCTCCCTGATAGCTTTGTGGTACACAGTGCCTCTTCTTTCTCAAAAAGGTTGAAGGCAAAGGCCTAGTACTGAGTTCTAGAGTTGCAGATAGCTTTTATGATGAGTCCTGCTACAGCTGTGGATTATTCATTTGTCCTTATTTAAAAATGCATCAGTAATCCTAGTAGTACAAGAAAAGTGTTCTGGAGATTGGCTTAGCACCTTGCAAAGCAGATGGAAATGAATTTCCTGCTTGTGCTGTGAATTATAAATAAAGAGGAGATGCTGAATGGAAGTGCAATGCAGGTACCTCGGAGAAACTACCAGTCTAAACCTTCTGTTTTCATATTGAGCAATGTTGGCTCTGTGCATTGATTAGATTTTTCCATTTCTGTCCTGACATTTAGAAAAATTTTAAGAGTTGCATCTTCTACAACAAACTGTCTTGCACAGGTTTGATGCTTTCAGGATTTGTCTAGTGTGTGTCTAACAAACAATCTAAGATTAGCCTGACCATGCAATGTTTCAGAAATTTGTTTTAACCAGTTTGCAAAGAAAGCTTGTGAGGTGGGTTGGGTGTGGGAGGAGCAGCTCACTTGCTGTGGAATGAACTGGGAGCTCATTGTGAACTGAGCCTGGTGGGCCTGAGTCTTCTAGACATCTGTTTCAGTGATACATATGACCATAGGGAATACTGGAACTGCACTGTGGGAAGTTCTGTGCTTGCACCATTCATAACTGTGGCTTTTCACTCTACAATGTGAAGATAGACAAGAGGCTTCCCAAAAGGGAAGCAGGCTTTTTGCTCATGGCATGTGGCTCTTTGAGTATGCTCTTAGTCAACCAGCGTTTTTAATAATATGATTCAAAAGAGGAGTGTGCTTATAAAGCTGACTGTTGTGAGAAGATGGTTATGAGAGTTCCCTTTGTCTGAAGTGAGTCAGTTGTCACCTAGTCTCACCCCTTCATGTGTCAGAAAGGTCTCCTATGCTGTATGAAAAACTAAAGGGAATAGGTCTGAGCAGCTGTATCTGGGGACTATTTCTTTTTAACGCTTTGCTTAAATAAAATCTCTTGACTTTCCAGTTCAATCCATTATCTCCTCTGTACTCTCTGGATGTGCTTGCTGATGCTTCCCACCGAAGATGCTCACCAGCACACTGCACTGCCAGGTAACTCCCTTGCTCTGCTCTCTTGGGGTTGTCTCACTTCCTTCCCATGGTTATCTTCAGTAGTACTGTGTGGTCTGAACAATATTCATGGACCTGGAAGTTAATGCACTTTTCCCTAGGAGGCCTGTGTTCAAATTTAGCATAAAACAAACTGATGCAGATTATTTGAGAATCTCACTAAGCACTTAGAGTATATAAAACTGTTTATGACAGACAGGCAGAACACACTGTGCTTTTAGAAATAAATGTGATCTGTTCTGGATTGTGCAGTGAGTTGCTGCAAGTCTGTTGTATAGGTACAAATGGGCATAGTATTGTTGCCCACTTAAAACTGGAACAAGATGAGAGAGAAAGTGCTGACAAGCTCATGTGGGTGACATGCTGAGGCATTTTAGTATCCTGGGTGCCTAAAATAGACCCTCTGAACAGATTCAGAACTCACCTGAGGTGACCTCTAACAGCTTGATATCTCTCTCTTTTGCTATAGCTGAAATTTAGATCTGGTCTGGCCAAACGTTGAGGTATATTTGAGTCTGCATAGTTGGGGTTAATATGCTATTCAGGCACCTTCTGCTGACTAATCCTAAACTAAATTCAAGTGTTGGTCTTGGAGGTGACTCTTGTTCTTGTGCTGCAGGTGACTAAAGGTAAGGTGCCCTTGAGCTCTTTCCCCATGCAAGGAGACAAAGCCTTGCTTGGGACACAGTTCTGCTTATGTGCTTGTACAAAGGACCAAATCTGAAAGAAACGTCTGGACTTTCAGCTTCATGGCATTCTTTCCCTTGTTAATTAACAAATAGAGCATGAAAAATGTACTGAGGTTGTATGTGTCTGAATGAAAGCTTGGCATCCACCCAGCAAAGCCTCTCCTCCCACTGGCTTCTGCAGGGAATTTTGTGATGTCGCACCATGACCTCATGCTGCTGTAGCCAGCATGTTAAAGCTGGAAAGAGAGAGAAGGGAAGAAATCAGCTCTTAAACATTCAACTGGATGAGAATAAAAAGATTTCAGAAGATTGTGCATCAGCAAATTGGTTCCTTTCTGTGCTTTTACCCCACTCTGGGAATGTTTTTTTCCCATGAAGCAAGATTAATTGGTCTCGTCGTTTACAGCTATGATAACCTTTCGTGTGCCTCAAGTGTTTTGCTTAGTGCTCTACAGAAAAGTTTGTCTTCCAGAAAAGAGAGCTAGACAAATCTGCGTACAAATTCAAACAGGGCAAAGTCTCTACCTTTATGATGATGAGTGAAGGCCCTTTTCAAAGCTACTGGTTATGGCAAGGGATTGCTAAAGCTGGAGCGATCATGTTTTCTTGATTTTGCTGAATATATAGTCTAGTTAACCAATGAATGTATGCCTGATTCCTTCCTCTAATGAACAGGTGACTGGTGTCCTGACAAACATAATCCCTGATGAATTGTTACTGAATGTTGGCAGAGAAGTTGTCCCATCCCAGAGGTGGCTGTGTTTTTAAGTGCCTGTAGTCTGAGAAAGTAGTTCCTATTTTAGTGTGAAATGTGCTCAAGAATCTTTATAGGAGAAAGAAGTATGGACAGAATGAATATGTTATGTAGCCTCATGTATGTGGCAAGGATTGAACTCTTTGGTACAAGGTACTTGCTTTATGTAAAGATGCTGCCAAGGGCACAGAAGGAAATTATTCCTTCACAGAAGCGTTTTCTTGACAATAGTTGTTCTTTAGATGCTTCAACAGCCAAGCCTATCAGTAGTCCATTTTCTTACAGGAGATTCAGGTGGTCTCCGTAAGCACTGTTTGTCCATTGGCCATCTTCCTCTTTTGCCATGAATGGAGTCAATTCCAGTAGTTTGTGCTTTAATAAGCTCCTAACAGCTTGCACTTCACCCTGGAGAAACTCTATGCAGAAATTTGTCAGAATGGGGGATGTGTGTGTGAAGCTAATCCCCTGAGAATGATATGAAATGTATTACAGAAGAAACTGTCTTGATGTTGTGGACATGCAGTTTCTTCAACCTGATGCCCACTGTGCCGTACAAAATTACCTCTCTCTGCTTAGTTTCTGCTATCATGAATGTGTCCAAGGGAGTATAGTTACCAGGTGGAGTCTTTTCTCTCTCATGGAAGGGTTTTCTTTTTCTCCATGGTGCATTTTGGTGCAGTTCATCTGGAAGACTGGTAGTCCAGTGCTTCGTTTAAGCAGAGCTGAAGGCCAGAATACTGAGCACAGTTGGGGGTGTTCAAGAAAAAAACCTCCTCCTTGACACTGAAAAGTCTACGTGGAGGGTTCCTTGGGAAGACTTATTTGAAAGGCTGTATAAATTGTACACTATGAAGATTACCTTTCTTGCTTTATGTCTGTGATGAGAAGAGATTTCATTCAAAGTGTATGCACAGCACTGGGAATTTCACACCCATCATTAGAAGCAGTTTTGTGTGTGTGGTGACTGTTATCGTTAGTGGTATAATTTTATTTTGTGAAGCGAGGAGAGTTTCCTGCTTTCTTGCAGTCCTCCCGAGGGATGGCTGGTGTATTAATTTGCTGTATTGCCTCCTGGCTGTTCCCAGGCTGTTTTTCCTCTTCATCATGGAATTTTTAATGGCCCTACTGCCTCTCGGGAGGCATGCAAGGAAGAGTACCTCAGGGATCTCTTCCTTTTTTCACATGCCTATAATTACTCTCCTTTAAGAGCACAAAGCATTTGCTAATCATGCCTTGTCTGTTACGGTTTCAGTTTCGTGATACAGGCTGTTAAAAGCAAGCAAGTAGAGGCTTGCATGGACAGCCCAAGTGCTCCGTTCCCTCTTTCCTCTCTGCCCATTTGTCCTTCTGAGTGAAAGGAGCAGTCTGAACAGAATTTTCTTCTTGAACTCCTACTAAGAGGATATTGTACAAGCTTAAGTGGAATATCTTTATTAGATTTTGGTTATTCAAAGGCTCCATCTATGGGAAGACGTTACAGGTTGTTGATTGGCGGAATGTTATTCTCTTGGGGCAGGGTAAGAGTTTCAGAAATGCCTAGAGCCAGTGTTCCCTTCAATTTGGGTTTGAATAGCAGGTAGAATAAGAGAGGAAAGTAGAAGATAAATTGTCTCTAATGTCATTTATTGTTCGCCTAGCCTTGAAAATAGGATTATTCAATTCAATTTATTGAAAAATTCAAATTAAATATTCCCACTAGAAGTCATAGGAAAAGTGGACCTCAGATGGCAAGTAGATGTTGAAGGTGGAGATTCGAAGAATTACATGAGAGAGACCTCTAAACAGTACAGATGAATTGAAGAAAATGGCTTTGCATGCACTCTTAGTTAATGCTAACCATAAACATAGAGTTTAATTGGGTTTGGAAGCAAGTCTCTCCATCTTGCCTGGAACACAGGATAAAGATTTAAAGGGATGAGTGATCATCTCCTAGTAAACTGCCAGTTGCTCCATACCCTGGATTTGGTGGTGCTATTAGAATGAAAAGGCTTGAAGGTCTGTAATTCTAGTTCCAGCTCTAGAAATATGTTCGTCAAAGTAAATCTTGTTCTTTCTCTTCTGTATCTGTGCAGAGATCCTGACATTTCTGCCTCTTACCCAAGCATGTGGAAGTACAGGAATTGCCTGCAATGTCAAGCCTTTCCTGAGGCAGCTGAAGAAGTGAACAGATGTTCGCAATTCCATGCTTTCCCACTTGACCAGTACAGTAACCAGTTCATTGCACGCAATCTATCCACATATCTTCATCTTCCTGGAGCTGTCTTTACATAAAAAGTCTGCTGTCAACTGCTTTAGGCATCTTTCTCCCTAGTTTGTTTTTTTTTTTGTGACTCTTTTTTGATTTAGCTGGAGCACTTTCATGTCTTCCTTTGCTAAAGCCTGGCTAATGTTCCAGTTGGGGATATAACTGAATTCTTCTGACAGGCATGCAATGAATAGCAGCTATCAACCTAGTGTCACGCGCAGTTGTCTGAGGCCTAATGCTCCCATTTTGGTGAATCCCAATTCTCTGGAGTGAAAAATAAATTCCCCTTGGCTTCAGAATTTTGTTTACTTGCCATTTCTTTCTTCGCCTGTAAAACATGTTGCCATTATCAAATACATGTACTCAGCAGGTCTGGCAAATATTAGGACTCTTTCTGGCACAGATATCATGTGATTTAGTATGGAAATAGAAAATGCAATGTATGGGATCACATTGTTTCTGCTTAAAATGCTTACATGGAAAACTGGAAGAAAAAGCATTCACTTGCATTTGCCACACGCAGACTTTTAGGAATGGAATTGCTATGTCATTAGAATGCTTACCTGGGGAACTGACTGCTGCTGCATAAAGACCTATGAGATTGAGACGATTTAAGATGTGAGCTGACCTGTTAGTGATTTGGAATCTGAAAAAGTGCTCTAGAAGCTCTCCCATAAGGCTCTGCAGGGCAGAGAAGACTCTGCTATGCGCAGGAAATACCTGCAGTGTAATGTGAGAGCAAGAACCACTTGCATGTGTGGGAGCTTCATGTGCAGGTTGGACACACAACTTGTATTGATTTACATGTGTTCTGTGCAGCTCAGACTTTGGTGCCCAGCTGGCTCTGTAGTCAAAGGGAGGAAGAACTCTGCTTTCACTGTTAATTCTGTGAAGCTACCATCAACAACCTCAAGTAAAATCTCAGGGTTTAGAGAAAGAGCCTTTTATTTGGCCTATGTTTTCTGGGAATACAGCATCACAACAGCAACACCTGGGTTGTGTGGAATTTTAGTAGCAGTATCCTTGTTAGAAGGCTGTCTCTGTTGAACATTTACTTTAACATGAGGATAATAGCATTCCTTGTTTGTGTGACAGTAGATTAATGGCTGCCTCTCACTTTCACTACATAATCCAAGTGCTTTGCTTCCTCCGAGGGTAGGGTTAGAACAAAGATTGTCACAGAGAAGCTGGCTGATGTGAGATTACAGTAGGAGGCATGCACCGCAAGTGTGTGATGCGCCTCCTGCCTCCAAGAAGGCCACAGGCTGTTACAGTTACTTCTGTAGGGTCTTCT